GGACATAAGAAGGGGGCTGCTGGGCTGACCTGGGCACTCCCCAGTGCCCACCCTGCTGTCATGGCTTTGTCACCTGTCCGAGGTGCAAAAGGGACGTGTGGGCTGTGTGGCTCAGCCTCTGGCTGTGCAGACAATCCATCCAGTCCTGGCAGTTCTGCTTGACTTCACTCCAGCTGTGCCCCACTCCAGCTGCACAGGGTACAAGCCTCAGAAACTCTCCAGAACTCCAAGTGCCAGTAGAAGAGATTTTCGGATAAAACTGTACAAGTGATATTAACAGATTGCTGGGACCAGACGGTTTCACTCAAGAGCTCTGAGGGAACTCAGACTTGAAATTGCTGACCTATTCAGTACAATACCACAGCAGCTGTTGAAATGGCGAGGCACCACAGGAATGGAAGGTGGCAAATGTTACATTCATTCTTACAAAGGGCCTTTAGAGGTCATCCAGAAACCTGTGGGCTGGGAAGCTGGGCAAGGCAAATTGACAGAAAGCATAACAAAAAGCAGGATAGCTAAAAGTGTGATAGAATGGGAAAGAGCAAAGTTTGTTGAGTGAGAGCTCAGGCATTGCAAATCCATTCGTGTCAAGACCTGGGCAATTTGACGTATTTGTAAAAGATGCAGCTGCAACCAGGTGGAGAGTAATCTCAGAAAACTGAATGGCAGGTTGATGAAATAACCTATGAAACTCACTAGCAGCAAACAAAAAGTGAGGACTGTGAGAAACACCAACCCAAGTCATACTAAGACCATCAGGGGCACTAAATTAACATCAGGCAGGAAGGAAACCTCAGTCAGTGAGTTTGCTGAAAATTCCAGCTTATTCCTCAACAGGTGTTAACAATGCAAAAAACCAAAGAGCCTTAGGAATGATTACAGAATTAAAAGAGAGTGAGAATGTCTCCTTCTAGGAACCCTGCCTCAAACATGGGATGTCCACCAAGGAAGACATAGAACAATCCATGAAGACATAGAAGAAAAGAGAACTACAGCAGAGTCCTATTTCTTGGGCCCCCTCAGCTGAGAAGGGATTGAGAGAGATCCTGACAACTCAACATAGAAACGTGAGCAGGAGACCATTATTTGTGCCTGTTGTCACAAGGGAAAGGCAGCACAACCCAAACTATTGGGCTGGAGGTGTAATACCAAGAAAAGGAAGTACTTCTTTCACACAATGCATAATTGAATTATGACACTTGTCACAGGATGCTGTGAAGATCAGAATTAGAAAAGAATTCCAAAAGGGGTTAGCCAAATTCTTGGAGGCTTGACCCATCTGCAGCTGTTAAACACAATGACCCAAATAATGACCCAAATGCCAGTCAAAAATTCCCTTAACCACAGTCTGCTCTCTACTGAGCTGGTAATACCACAAAGGCATTGTGCTATGCTTGCTCTGTCCTTACACCCTTTACCTCACAGTCTGCTGCTGGAATGAGCTGCCCAATTAGCTGGACCTTTGCTCAGAGCCACTATCTCTGCATAAGACATATTACACATGACATAAGATGTTTACTAAGAAATTGGTATTTATTGCAGGTGATGGTCACCTTGCATGGAAGTTTTGTCTCTGGCAAATGCTAATATCTGATACCTTGGGAGAAGGGCGTTTCTGTCCTAAAATATCTATCATGCCCCTGGCAGTCTGTACCAAGGACCTGCTCCTTCCTGATCTCCCACAGCTGCTCTGCTAAATCCATAAACCATGACAGTGGATTACCTTTATCATTGATTTAACTGTCACCACTAAAAGTAGTTAGCAGTCTTGAAATAAGCCAGCAAGCACATTTGGAGCAACGTCCTCCCGAGGCACATATTTCCTTTTATCAGCCTTAAATTAATTCTCCTTCATTGCATGACGTGTGCCTTATTCTCACTTTGCAGGATGAGTAAAAAGGAAGCACAGATCACTTTCCATCTCCTGCACCATAATTTCGTTCACTCAACTGCTCTCCCTTCTGCCGCTTCCCCCTTCCAGCTGAGCGGCCAGGATTACACAACCATGGCTTTTGCCATCAGGGATTCCTCTCCTCGCCGAGGTGTGGCTGCTGTGCTGGGCACAATGAAGGAGAAGGTCGAGGGGATGAGTTATGGATGGCCTGCAGGGGGAGAGGGGCAGGTGAAAATCCCTTGCTGCCATGGCTGGACCACACTGGCACCAGAGTTCTCGGCTGGGGTCTGAGCTCAGCCTGCTCAGTGCAAAAACAGCCTGTGTTTTTCACTACTACCAGTCTGGCATCTCCTGCCAGCTCTAGGCATTTCCTTTCTGAAGAAAAAAACAACCAAGGTTTGATCATTCACTTCTGGGGTTGTGCTAAACTTGCCAGCATCTGTTCCATCTGAACGGCGGGGGAAAAACACCAGTCCTGGACGGGGAGAGAAGGAAAGGTACCAAGTTGTAATGTGAGAAATGAAAGCAAGAAAAACAGCATCTTGAGAGATGTTAAAGACGAAAACAAGGGCTGTGAACAGGAGCAGAGACAGATTTCAGAGGAAAGAAGGAAGACAGTGACTAAAGCACCAAGAGTGAAAACTGTATACACATGGAAACTGAATCCAGACTCCTAGGGTTTCTTTGTATTTGTTTTTCCTACCATTTCACAGAAATCATGATGCTGGCGGGATCCCTCTATACCCAAGGGTCAGTGATGTCAATGAAAGTTGGTGGAGCTGCACTGATTTGTATCCATTAAGAAGCAACTTTCTCACATTTCTCAGAATTACTGAAGTTTAAAATAATGCCCTGAGAACCCAGCTGAAAACAACAGTTAGGATTATCCTTATGTCAGGTCACACTGAAACCAAATTAAAGATTATTTAAAATGTGTCCCTTATTTTTTAAGAGTTGCAAAATTCCTAACTTTGGATGGTCACATTGAAAACACAACCCTGGAGAAAAGTGCATGACACTTTTCTACCAGTTCAGGAGCCACAGCAGATGCACAAAGAGCTCTACAGATTCCAGCTCAGCAAACAACTACTTTAATAAGCAAAATAAGTAAATATTATCTTTTTGTTTCCCCCCAAGCTTCTGTTTAACTTCTTGGATTTACTGTGCCATCAGTCTTCTTCAAAATATGATGGGTGGATTTTAAAATACAAACTTTAGGAAAGAAGAGAACAGAAAAAAAAATGGTTGATCCTTAATTTTTTTAAAAAAAACACCAATGTTTGTTGTTTGGTTTGGGGTTTTTTTTGTTTGTTGTTTTTTGGGGTTTTTTTTCTGAGTGTTTGTCAGGTCAAGCTAAAGCTCCTCAATGTTTAGGGGTCCCTTTGCAGGCAAAACCCCTCCTTGCTCTCATTGTGACTGCACAAGATGAATGCAAAGCCTTTTCAGTATTTTTTTAACTCTCAAGTTCTATTTTACAAGACACAATCCACTGTCCCCTGTGAATCCCTCCCTCCCCCTCCTTCCTTTGCTCTCTTTCAGTAGCTGCCCTAATCTGGCTGTGGCTGTGTCAGCTGAAGGTGACACGGAGGGAGGAGGGGGTGCCCATCTGGTGACACTCCACCACGCCAGGCCATCCTCACTGCCCGGACCTCTGCTCCTGCTGCATTTCATAACCCGATTACCACAGTCTTGGGTTAAATTCAGACAGATTGCCTACCAGCAAAAGGCTCAATATCCCATTATCAGATTTGTGAGCCCGCCATCCCTCTTCATTTAGGATGTAATAGAAAGTGTCAGTAATGTCCTATGGACTTTGGCTTGAAAATGAGTCTTGACTATGCAAGTCATAAATGCACTGGGTGAAGATACTCCACAGAATCACATGTGGGACAACAATTTTAAAACATTTTTTATTTAAATATTAAATAAAACACATCAACTAATCATTTTGGTGTACACCTCTCATTTTAACATAAGAAATAAAATGATTGTTCAGTCATGATAAAAAATAAACTATACATCTCAATTAAACCAGTCATGTAGTGTCTTTAAATACCCTATTGCATTGCAGTCTGCAGAACAGCACTGTCAAGATATCTACAAAAAAAACCCAGACTTTTTAAAATGACCTCTTCTGCTCCAGCAATAATTCCAAAGAGGTTCTACAGCAATTGGAAAAGAAAAAAAAAAAAAACTATGAAAGTAAAGTGCTTGTCATTGCTCAGGACAGGAAACAAAAGAATCTGTGGCCTTTAGATCCATGGCATTAAACTAAAGACAAACTGAGGAGGAAGTTCTGTGGTTTAAGTACGTGTGCTACCCCTTACAAAACTGAAGGCCAAGTTGCTGCTTTGTGACAAGCTGGATTCTTCTTGCCCTCCTCTCCAGCCATCTCCATGCAATCTCTTTTTTTGGGTTGGGTTTTTTGGGGGGTTGGTTGTTTGTTTTCTTCTAAACCCACACTACAAATGAGCATGAGACTTTGGTGTTTTCTCTGCTGCAAGGCACCACTCATTAACAGGAGTTCAACTCGAGCAATTTTCTGTCACTTTGAAGCTTCCAGATCTTGGAGCAGCAGTGGCAAGCTGGAGATGCACCGATACAGAGACACAGATACAACACACAGATAAAGAGGTTGTTTATGGAGAGCCACAGACAGAGCCACGTGACATCTTCAACTCTTTCTACCCCTACCAATTAACCTGGTCAATCTTTGGCTTTTTTCTTTTTTTTTGTGTTTTTTCTTAAAAAAACAAAACAACAAACAACTAAACAAACCAAACAAGAAAAGAAAAAGAAAACCCAAAAAAAAACCCCAGAACAGGTCTCTATATTATTTGCAAATGTGTAATACTGCAGGTTGCACGAAGCCAAGGTAACTTGAAGGCACCCTGTGTCACACTAGGGAGATGGGTCCTTGAAGCATTTAGCCAGAACGCAGCTACGCTCTGACACTTGGATTGCAGCTCACAGCCAAGCTGTCTCACTGTCTGCTCACCTGCTTCCAAAGTCTGCATGCACTCCCCAGCTCATGTCTGGAGGAGCACAGCCTGTCCTCCCCTTTATACCTCAGCACAACCCCTATTGACAGCAACAGAAGTCATGGTCTGCCTCAGGAGGGGAGTTGGGGTTTATACCAGAAACACAACAGAAGCATGTTACAAAATATAAAAAATAACTAGTGTTATATAGTTTTCTGCTTCCTATTTATATACATATACAGCATTAAAAACCATACGAAAAACACCTATCTAATGCAAAACCTTGTTTTGCTAATATGCCAAAAAACAAACCAACCAAAAACAAACACCCAAAGATTGTGCTGTTTTACTCACTTTTAATACAGTTTTGTTCAGAAAAAGCTGTACTCTGTTAGAGTAGAATTCTGTTCTAGCCTATTCCTTTTGTCTTTGTCAGTATATAATTATAACCTCAATATTGCACATTTCCCCAAGAGTCAGTTCTGTTTGGACCCTGATAATGAAATGCATAAAAACATAATTAGCAGCGGAAATAACAATGTGCAGCACTAAGAAATACCCCTCAGGCAACTTTGTAGGCAACCTCCAGGAGGGCTTTTTAGAAAGAAAACCCTTCCCATTACCCCACAGGTGCTGCTGCTTCCCCTCCTCAGTGCCTCGGCAAGAATATGAACAAACTTAAGAGTTTATAAAAAGATTCCTAAAGATTACCCAGACCAACAAAATATAGGCATGTGTGCACCTGTGTGTATGTACACACACACACCACTCCCAAACATCCCTGCAAAAGACCAGGCATTATGCAATTTAAATCCTGATTATCAAGGGACACATTTCCAATAGTTACTGCTTCTGTACTAATTAGAGGGGCTTGCTGAGCTTTTCCAGCTGATGTATCAAGCAAGAAGTTCACAGTTTTCATTTAAAGTATGTGTATCTGGGAGGTGTGGAATGGGGATGTTGGTTCCTTTAAATAAAATGAGTGTTAACAGGAGGGAAAAGGAAAAACAACAAATGGCAATGCTTCCATTTTTGTCTCCTATGAATGCATAATGCTGCATGCCACTGGTTTTCTGTTTATTTTTTTTTAAAAGAGGTAATCATCTTCACAAACCCATAAATGAATATTGTGAAAAAGGGAGGCTCTGGTCCCTTCTTTGAAAAGCCTCTCCCTGCTGTGTCACCACTTCTGACAGCTGCTAATCTTGCATAACAGCAGAGCTGTATTGGTCTGACTTGAGTACAGTACCGAAGAGTTCTTCCCCAACCACATCCCTCCCTGCCCCCACAAATGCCCCACCCATCTGCCCCATCATTATTTTTTTCCTTTTAAAAAAAAAAAAAAAAATTCAGTTTCTATTCGTATTTGTTCAGTGCAAGAATAGTAGAAGCAAAAAGACATACATATTGCTTGTTTCAGTCCTACAAAGTTGCCAGCTTTCTGAGCCAGACAGCATCTTCACATACTTCAAAATTTATTGCTTCTGAGAGTCACTCGTCCCCACGCCGCCAGCCAGCCACGGAACAGAGGTGAAAGTTCCCCGCAACGAGAGCGGCCCGAAGCTCTCACTTGACCAGCACAAACTTCCCCAGCTGGCTGGAAGTCAGGTCCTCCATCTCACAGTCCCCGTGCTGCAGGGTGACGGCGTCGTAGCTCGGGGACGGCGCGGAGAAGCTCTGCTGCTGGGAGAAGGTGGCGGCGAGCGGGGGGACGCTGCTGCTGCTGCTGATGTACAGGTGAGTGTCCAGGAGGTGAGCGGCCGACGACACCGGGGACACGCTCACACCGAAGAAATGAGGTTGGAGCAGCTGGCTGCTGCCAGCAAAGGCCAGCTCAAACGAGTTCTCTCTTTGCAGCTCCGACAGCAGAATGGAGTTGGAGGCTTTGCAGGTACCTGGCCCGTCAGAGGAGGGGATGCTGCTTGCTGCGGGTGTCTGGGAAGTCTGGGGACAAGCTGTTTGGAGTAGTTGGTGATGCTGGAACTGGAGCATTCTGAACAAAATCCAAGGGGGAAGAGGTTAATTTGCACTGCTAGGATAATTTCATGTTCTTTTCCCTCCGATCTTGCCCCTAACCTTGACTATAATTTTCCCCTTTGTTTCCTTCTCTCTATCAAACCTCTCCTTACCCCAGCCAGTACAATCAGAGCAAGCTGCCCATGCCAGGCTTTCCCTCATTCAGGGAATGGATAGAGGGCAACTATCACAACCAAGTTTATCTGGTCATGATTTGGCCACCTAATAATAGATGTTCTAGAGACAATGTGTGCAGATAAACCGGAAGCTCAATTTTCCATCTTGCTTCTATGGGAATGAAGAGGTGCCACCACACATGACATTTGAGGCCACTGGAACTGTGCCTCCTTTGTGGGCTGTAACTTTTCCAAATTACAAGGTCTCACTTCCTTGCCATGGGAAAATTACAGGAGGAGGCAGAGGAGGAAAGAAATCATTCCCAAAACTAACAAAGAAAAACACAGCTTGCAGTAGGGAGAAGCAATGTTTTCCCCCACACTACCAAACTGCTTCTCAATTCAGCAACCTCCAGATATTTGAACATAGAGATTTTTGAGTGGAATTGCACGTCCTGTGTTACATGTGCCAGGGCAGGAAACCACAGAAGAAGCCAAGCAGTTTACCCACTGCCACACAGCAAAGATGGAGGACAGGAACCCCCAGTGACCAAACCCCCAACCTCTTTTGCTGTGTTTACCCGTCTTTGCTTACCCTTAACCCAAAGGAAACCCAATGAAAAGACACCAAAGCTCCTCCCTCACCTCTGCTGCTGCAGCACCTCCTCCAGGAGGCTTCTCCCCTCTCTGCTGCTCCCGCTGCTGCTGTACATGCAGGTGTTGGGCTGTGTGTGCTGGAAAGGGCTCATGGCACTCCTTGCTGCCCGAGAGGAGGAGGACTGACACACCTGCCGAGCAAAGCCTTTGATTTTATTCAAGCCGAGAAACCCTTTGGCTCGAGCGTTCTTCCGCAGCTGCTGCCTAAAAGCCTTCAAGCCTGTGGGACACGAGGAAAAGAAATGCACTTTAATCCTCCACAGCGTTTGCCTACAGTACAGATCAGCCTTTCTGGGCACTGCCTTCCTGGGTGTGAGAACTGGGCTGGAAGAGACTCCAGTTCACCCTCTGCCTGCTGGTCAGAGCAGGATTTAGGTAATGGAACAGGGACTGGGACAAGCAGGAAAAGCCAGAGAGAAATCATGACGTTGTGCACCCCATATTTTAGGAGGAAGGTGGAGCCTGCCATCCCACTCACGGCAGCAGAAATATCTCCATGGGCAGGCTGAATCAGTGTCTGAGAACCTTTCCTCCAGGCACCTTCTCCAGGGCATCCCACCCTGCCTCAGGGCCCATGAACACAAGAAGCAAAATATGCAAGTGTCCAGCCTCAGTGCAATACTACGGACAGCAAGCCTCCCTGCACCCTACCCTTTCCCAGTAGCTCTTGGGAGGGTGCAATTCCTCATCAACAGAGCCAGGAAGACATTACCTTGAGTTAATGAGGTATCAGATGCTCGCCTTCCTTCTTGGAAGCTGACAGGCAGCAGAGAAGCACCTCCCATGCAGCCCTGGGCTTGTAACACGGGAGCGTCAGACTGGGAAGCGAGGAAAGGCGACGTCATCCTCGCCGTGGCCGGGCTCCCCGTCATTACTTGACCTGCCAAACAGCTGCTCAGGGCCACTGAGCTGTCATTTGAAGATGAAGTAAGGCAGCTGTCTGAGCTAGTTCCCTCTGTGGGGCTGGCAGAGGAGGAAATGACTATACCTATGGAGGGGAAGGAAGGAGAGAAAGAACATTCCCAAGATGAGTACAGAAAGGAACAAACATGACATCAGAGCCTTCTGCCCACCTACACTGGCACTAATAAACAGCCTCAAGATGGAGAGGTGTCCAGCAACTCTTCTTGTCCCAGGGCTTGACTCCAGCAAAGGGTCATCAAGAAATAACCTCAGTTTGGGCTCCTGTCCAGCTGGCAGGGCTTGGCCAGCATCACCAGGCTGTGCTGGATCAGGCACACAGCGTTACTTTAGCACAACCAGGACGATTGTTTTGTGAACGGTTGTGCTTATTTAGTTGGCTCACAGGGTCTGGGTATGTACCAAACACAATCAGTGAGGTGTTTTTTGTCAAATTCGGGCACTTTCCCCACCCCCAGTACAACAGCAGAAGCAAGCAGACCAGGTTAGTGTCCTCCCTGTGAGCATGCTCTCCTCTGAAGAGATCTAGGTGATCTCCCTCAGCATTTGGGCTCTATGGCACTCCTTCTCTGCTCTTTTCCTCTACCTACAGAAACCCTTCATCTCTCCCAGACTTACTTACATGGAGGGACGTGCTGATAGAAATGGGTGGTCACTTCAGCCAGGGTGTGCCTCCTGCTGGTGTTGCTAGGGATGCAGATGGGGTGGTCATATGCCTTAATTTCATCTTCCAGCTCCTTCTCTTGCCTCACTTCCTCACTGATGGTGGTTTCCAGCAGGCTGTTCGGGGAGATGGAGCGGTTCCGGAAGAGCCCGTTGAAGTTGGTATCCACAGGGAAGAACACAGGCTGGAAAACATGCCAGATCACAGACTTCAGGGCCTTTTCCTTATTTCTGCACTGCCTTTTAATACTCTCCACAATTCTGTGGCATGTCTTCAGAAGGAATATTGTTTGAGGGGGTATGTGATGCTATGCCCAAATGCCAAACAAAACATAGGAGGAAGAGAATAAAAGCCACAAGCCCCATTGTTGTGGATTGGCAGAACAGTGAAAAAAAAAAATAAAAAAGCAACACAGAGTTTAGCTGGGAACACCAACCTGTAGTGGATTGCTTATGTCACAGTCCATTTCTGCCTGCAAGGATGGCTGAATCAGGCTCTGAGGTTGCTGGTAAAGCAGAGATGATCGCAGGGTTTCACTAGTGAGACTGTCCTGAGGCATCTGGAGAGAGAGCGATGCACAGAAGCCATCACACACACTGCAGTTCCACGTGACTTTTCAGATATTGGAGAGTCACAGAATTTCAGAGCCACCTTCCCTGCAAGCTTTCTCCTCATGCTTTCTATGAAAATGAACAAAGCTAATCCATCAATGCCAACACAAACACAGAACTCCTCCTCACAAGTTAGGCAATTTAACTGGAAGTGCAATTTGCAAAGGCACCCAAACCACACTTTAAAGGGGGTGGGGGCGAAGAAAATAATAAAAATGTCAGAAAAACACATTAAGTGACTCATAGAGTACTTCTGAGGAACCTACAGGATATGCAACAAAGAAGCATAACCAAGCCATGCCTAAAAGGGCAGATTTCCATGAGAAGTCTAATCCTGTGGCTCATTATTGACCTGCACTGGAGGCAGACTATTCTTTGGACCATGACCTGCGGTCACTTCCTAGGAAACAGGGCATTAATATTCACTCAGCCTCCTGCTGAAGAACAGCAGGCTGTGTCCTGTCAGAGGGCACCACTGTCAGAATTGGTTTTCAGAAGCCTGGCAGTTACATGGGAAGCAGATGCAAAGGTGCCTCTCCTCACCTCAGTGTTGGTGATCTCGGAGCTCCTGGGCCGCGGCTGCCGGCCGGCTGCCGGCCGAGCCGACACCTGGCTGCTCCGGTACTCCTTGAGGCGCTCCAGGAGCAGGTAATAAATCGCAGCAAAATGGTTGTAGCTGCTGTTCTGCAGAGACTGGAAGACAATGGAAGGGCCTTTTAGAGTTACAGGTAACTGGGGATGTAAGCAGCCAAAACTCATCACCTAAGGGCTCAGAGTAGCACAGTTAAAAAACCAAGCAAAATCCAGAAGGGCAGTGAAGATTTTATGCTGTGACACCAGATCAAGGCCAGTCACTGAATGACCCATGACTGCACCACTGGCACTCTGCTGGTCACTGAAGATGTATCTAAAGGGCAAGGACTCACCTCTACGGTCCTCTGCCTGTCGATGCCAAGGGTCTGCATGATCCCAAGGACCTGCTCGTTGTAGTCACCCAGGTTGGAGTTGTAGTTTTGCATGGAGAAGGACAAGGACTGCTGCTGCTGAAGGGAGAGGTCAGCCTGCATCCACTTATGCTGCTTGATCTGGGAGATGGTTATCCGCTTGGTTGGGTCCACAACCAGCATCCGTCGGATTAGTGTTTCACAGTCTGCGTGGCAAAGACAAACTCATGAGCAAGGGGCAAAAAAAACCAGCTCAGCCCCAGGTCACTGCTCTGAGCACTTCCCAGCAGCAGTGTAAGATGCCTATGAAGACATGAATTAAAGGTTTGGGAGCAGCTGATGCCTGATCTGACTATCAGATATTCCAGACAGCACGAGAGATGCCCACACACATATCACAGAAACAACATCTCACTAGAAGAAATGAAGCTGTACTGGATACCAGGTGGCCTTGCACCTTGTGCAAGAGCTGGAATGGCATTACATCCACATAAAATAGGTCAGAATATAGTATAGAACCCCATCACATACAGGTTCCTGGTCTTACACTGATTATTTACTTATAACCAGGAAATAGAGCTGTTCATGGCTGTAACTGATAAACTTCAGACTTCAGCAGATAATCTCCACGTGACGACAGAGGCACGTTCATTTGGTTTTGAAACCAAATCAGAGAGAGGTGATAACACTCTTCAGTTTCATGTTTCTCATCAGAAACTGTTGGAGTTCTCACACTGCTGAGTCCCACTATTCCTGCTCCCCTTGGCAGCACAGCCACACTGGAATACACCCCTTCTGCATAGCTAAAATAACTTATGAGAACTACACCTATGTCAGCATTGCAGGCTAGTCTCATTAAAATCCTGTTTTCTCTTTTCTGAGCGATTATTTCTCCAGCTAGGGAGTCAAGTATTTCTGTAACCCATAGGGATATTCCAAGAAAGGAAACTGCAGCCTTTTAGATGCACCACAAAGCAGATCCCAGAAAAGAAAATGTCTTCTGCCCTACAGAAACTACTGGGTACATAAAAACAAAATAATTGCCAGCTGCAATCCGGACAGCTACTCCTTTATAGCACCTGTTCTAACATCAAGGAGCTGAAAAAAAAGCACCTTCGGACATGAAGTACGGGATGCGGAACCGCCCCTCCAGCACTCTTTGCCTCAGAGTTGGTAAATTGGGTCCATCAAAAGGCAGAGAACCGCAGACAAGGACGTACAGAACCACCCCAAGGCTCTGCCAAGAGAAAACAGCACAGCACATGAGTGACTCCAGGAAAAACAATGGGTTTGAAGGCCCACAGACCCTCACAAAGTGTGAAACGCAGTTTCTGAGGAGTAGCAAGCTCACCCATATATCAAGGTGAGGTCCTTCGTATTCCTTGCCTTCGAAAACTTCTGGAGCTGCATAGGGTGGGCTTCCACACCAAGTGGAGAGGGGCTCTCCCGACTTGTAGAAGTTTCCAAAGCCAAAGTCTGAAATAAAAGTGAAAATGTGGGGTAAGACAACAACACTCAACCACATACTAATATTTCAGAAGCAGCAGAAAATGGAGAGAAAGGAACAGATGTGTTGCTTTGTTTTCTGCCCATTCATTTAAGCTCTTCCCTTCTGTTCACAAAATCTGTTCTGAGAAATATCTGTAACTATCATTTTATTTTCACTTACACCAACACAAATACATTTATAGGATCATCCTAGGGAAACCCAATGCCTAAGCAACATGCCTGACGTTCTTTATAAAGCGACCTCCTATTTCCTGTTACCTGCTAATTTGATATTCATGTTAGCATCCAGCAGGAGGTTCTCTGTTTTGAGATCCCTGTGCACGATGTGGTGGCTGTGACAATATTCCACTGCTGAGAGAATCTGCCAGAATTTCTTCCGTGCTTCGCTCTCGCTCAGGTGCCCGTTGGAGGTCAGGTGATCTGCGAGACAAATTCACAGAGGATTTAGAAACACCCCAAGCAAATTTTTCATAATCCTGCAGGTGCTGCACTTGCTGTTTGACAGCTGGCAACAGAAGACCCTGGGTTTTTAATTAGAATATATCTGTTACTCAGGAATGACAAAATAAAGCCATGGTTTCTAAATCTAAGGAACTGAGGGCTCAATCAGAGACTTACCAAACATTTCACCATTCTTTGCAAACTCAGTAACAATGTACAGCATATCCTTTGTCTCCATAACCTGTGAAGACACAAGAGGACACAATTAAAAAAAAAAAAAAAAAAAGCAGAGCTTTATAGTTCAATTTGTTTTTCTATGTGAATTCTCAAACATATCCGTTCAAATTTATATTTGCTGCAGCAGCTGGCAGTAAAAGCATCTAATTTTGCACCAGAGTTCTTTCCAAGCAAACTGATAATGAAAAACATAACAAATCAAGGCTTATGTGCCTACATTGTACAATGGCTTCCCAGGCCATTGTTCTCACCATTACCAAGCTACCTAATCTCTGTAAGAGAGCAGATGAGTGTTTAGATAATTTCATATGCTCCTCTTTTGTTAACATATGCATATATAGATTTACAATTAAAGTGACATATTTTGAACATGCAAAGAAACTCAAAAGTTTATCCAAAGTTGTTTCAAGGCTAGTGGGGGTTCAGATCAGCAGAGACAGCTGCAAGCTGGACAAAGCAAGAAGTGGCATCAGATCCCCTGCTCCTGTCTAGAGTTGGCTGGGACATGGGGAGCCTCCTGTGCAAGTGATAACAGGCTGCTGTTTGTGCAACAGCACTGCTTGATGCACATCAACAACTGTCAATATATTGCCTATCAATCTAGTATCACCTTGCTTTGATATTTCGCAAGATTTTCCTTTGCAGGAAAACAGAAAAGAATAATTAAAATCCAAATGGTGAATGAGAGATGCTGAGCGTTTCCAAGCTCGTCTTCAGTTGCCACAGCACACCTTTGAAATGTTGCATTTCAGATTTCAGAATACAACATTTCCCTGGAAACACTTCCCTCTCAAGGGGCAGATACTTTGTTTTGGAAGCAGGAGGCTCACAACAAGTTAACAATCCAGAAAGCCTCAAATCTACTTCAAAGGCTGTAACTTCCAGGCTCCCAACACGTAACCTTTTTCAAAGACTCTTGTCCTCCCCTCGCTACAAGTACACACAGACGCAAAATGAAAATAAACAAACAAGGAGCAAAGGAAGAGAGGTTCCCAGTTTAAAAAACTGAAGGAAAGTGTTCTGGGAAAGTTGCCAGCTGGATGAAATTAAGACGCGGTGCTGAAACTAAAACAATGATGAAATAATACAAGAACACACACCCTACGTTGGTATGTCATCTAATTCCATCCCTGCTTCTCAGCCTCTACCAAACAGGTAAAGCATCAGTTACAACAACAAAGAAAAGAAAACTTCACTGAAAAGAAATTATGGTCCCCTACCAACGTCATTTGCTGCATCAAGTGAAGTGGTTCAACGAGATGGAATTTAACCTGCTTTTCTGAATGCTCTGAAACAGTATTTTCACCCACATCATTCCACTGAAATGAACTCAACCGAACTGTTAGCATGTTTCTGTATGTCCTATACTGCCCCATGGGCAACCCTGACGTCAGCTGTTAACACAGAATCATTTTTGTTATGATGGGTAACACTATAAATACAAACACTTCATGTGTGTCAAGGTCTTTTAAAAGAATGCCTTGCCTAAGCACCTGCCTTACTGGCTCTTCAGCCTTAGATGGTAATTATAATTAAACTTTTTTTTTTTTTTTTTTCCTTTAAGCTAACAAGCCCAGCAGTAAGATCACAGCTGATAATAGTGTTTACTACTGCACACAGACTTTCAGACCTGCTGCTTCATCCATCTCCACCTTTCTCCCCTCTGCCCTTTTAGACAGGTCCAGAGAGACTGATACCTCTGCCCTGCTCATGGCAGGGGCTTGCACCAGGTGACCTTTAAAGGTCCCTTCCAACCCAAACTGTTCCGTCACCTTAAATCCACACGGCATTATTTAAATGATTAAGAGGAACTTATACCAAAGGCTACTTAGAGCTAACATTTAGAATTTGCAAAGCAGTCCTTGCTCACAAGACAAATGTGATCCTGCTTTCTGCACAACACATTCATTTGTTCCTACAGTTAAAAAGATTTGTCAGTGCAGAAACTGAACAAATCTAAATCAAAATTCATGTTGTGAAACTCTGCAGGGGAAAGATACTTAAAATTTCACTTTCAAAACTACACAAACTGCAACAAAAAGAACCAAACAGGTCATTTTTGACATATTCTAAGAGACCAACATTTTCCACCTTTTCCTTTTTCACTAATCTAATTCTTTGATTAAATTTCCACTTAGACTTTCTACTTAAGATTAATTTGGTTTAATTGTTGGTGATTTTAAATCCCTTCCGCTTAAGGCAAACTCAACTTTAGTGCTTCCTTCTCTACCACCCAACGTGAGTTTAAGTCTTCCTCTTATCTAAAGCACGTAAGAAGTTCCAGTCCTCTAAACTGGGAAAAGGAGAGGAGATAGGAAAGGCAAGTTAATCACAGAAGTTCAGATAACCCGTTCCTCAGTCTGAAACAAACATCAGCCTGCTTGCAACTGCAAATTTTACAGTGCACTTTGTCAAAAAGCTGTCTAATGTACCAGAACCTTGTTCAAAAAATGAAGAATGACTTTGAAGAAACACAGTTTATTTCAAACGTTTTTCAAGAAGCATTTCAGTATTTCAATATGCAATCTCTCTGCAAATATTAGATTTAAAAATGACATGCCAGAAAAGATCACGAGCATATTTTATCTACGTGCTGCACTTCAAAGCTGGACTCTTACCTGATACAGCTTGATAATGTGGGGATGATTCAAAAGCTTCATTATCTGAACTTCTCTGTAAATCTTCTCCAGATTGCTTGGGTCTAACCTTGTTTTGTCTATTATTTTTATTGCAACCTGCAAATTTAAATAATAACAAAACAACCCCAGGTATTACAAAACAGGTACCCTCACTGTTAAGATATCCTAAAAAAAAAAAAAGACAAAAAAAAAAGACACACCCCCGTACAAACACACCACTCACAAAATCCAAGTAAAGTAGATTTTAAAGTAGCTTTTAAAGCACAGACTTGACAAAGCTGATTCTGTTTTTCTGAACCGCACAGAATTCACAGCACAGAACGTTTTCGTTTTTCTTTTCTACGTCAAAGGATTACACGTAAGGTAGCGGACAGAACTGCAGAAATTAGCACTGGACAGGATTCCGTAAATCTTTTAATCCGTCCCATGCCAGTGAAAAACAGATCCTTGTAACAGCCTATCTCTTACTGTAGTGACTGAGACGACTTTGACATGCACCAGAAATATAAATACGGCTGCACGCCAAGGAAAAAAAATATTTCTGCAAATAAGACCCCAGGTCCTTTGTTCTTGAAAAGCACGGAATGAAAAAAAAAACAACAAAACAAACCAAGAAACAAAAATCCGAAACGTCTGAAGTCTTCAAGAGATCCTTGATTTGCAGGGCGTTTTTAGCGAACTGAGAGAAACTCAACGAAGCTACGGTAACACTCAGAGCCGCGGGAGCCGGGCTGGGAATTTTTGCCCGTATTCTGGCCGAGTTTTGAATTCCACCCAGCGGGAAAAGTCTCGGTCCCCGCCGAGCGCGGCATCTCCGCGGCCGTGCCGAGGCAGCAGCGCCCGCGGGGCCCGGCGGAGCCGCCGCGCTCCCTCCC